GGTCGGAACCAAGGACGTAAGAGCACACAGAGGGCAGGCGCCCATCACAGCAGCTGCGTCACTGTTTCAGGTGTGAATTTTCTAGGTACCATGAGTTTGATGAAAGCAACAAGGAAGTACAGTTGTTTATAGATAAATTTCAAAACCATTTACTGATAAACAGAAATACAATAGTTCTCTAATTCACATGCATGATCTCCTCTCTCCTTCCCCAGCATGAGCGCACACACACACACACACACACACACACACACGGCTTTCTCCAGGTCAGCCAAGGGTGCTTACTCCTCACCAACTGCCAAAAATAATTTTTTCTCTACAGACAGTGAATGTAATAATCACTTACATATTTATTCTGCTATCTGTTTCTTGTTATGCTCTAAGAAATATTTAAGACAGTTTATGTGGTTATATACTATGACAAGAATTTAAATTAGAGGTAAAAACCAAAGATGAAAACAAGGACAGGAAAAGAATTAAAAAGTATAATATGATGATTTACATCTGCTATCTATGAGCCATAAATTTGCTTTAAGCTTTCCAGTGGCCAAGTTTACAGAAAAATCTAGTCAGTTCTGTAGCTCTCACCTCCAAAAGGGATTCCCAAACTATTGTGTGTACTTGGATCACTTGAAGAGCTTATAAAATTAGTTATTCAGGCCCCACTAGCACAACTTCAAATTCTTAAGATACAGGGTGAGATTCTGGCACTTAAAATTTTAATAAATTCCCATTGATCTCTCAAATAGAACCAAACTAAATTTTCAGGGCAAGAACAATTCTTTTTGATATTAAGATCATACTGGACTCTCTTCTAGGGAATGACATAACAAAGAGAAGCTTCAGAAATACAGTGAACATTCTCAGACATTCAAGTTTCAGAGGTCCATAGCCTGTTGCTTATAATCGTCAAAATAGGTTTATACATAGTTATGGAAAGTAATTAAATTGAGATTTGGTTAAGAGGGGTGCAGAAACATAATAATGTTCTCCAGAACAATTTTGCTTGACCCAGGTTAGGAAATAAAAAGGATTTTATGCCCACTCAAGCCCATTATCTTCATATGGAACAAAATAAAAAAGAATATTTTAGTAACTATGTCACCAAAGTGTACAATCTTCAGGGCTCTGTCAGTACTGAGATTTACTTACAAACTATAATAAGGTTTTAAAGAAATATTAACTAGTTGTTCTTATATTTTAAATTTATTCTTGAGGAATTGCATTTTCCTCCAGTCTTTAATATTGATAGAGGCAGAGGGAGATGAAAGGGTGGGGACTGAGCTCATCCTTATTGTGGAAACTGATCTTTGTGAGGACCTACATCTGTGTTTAGTGAACCTAAATCATCAAAAGTTCTCAGTATACATGAACCTTGCATGATCTTATAAAGTTTCCTTCATTTCTATTTTGTAGCAAAAGACAATGAAATTTTATTGTACTTTTACATCTCATAATCTCATATTTTGTCACCTTGAATCTAAAGTAAATCTGCAAGACTCCAGGGGTGCTTCACAGATATATATATATATATATATATAT